TATGGATTGGAAATGGAGTCAAGAGTTGGTATGAGTTGTGCAACAGATCTCACGAGTTATGACCATTTTGGGCATCACAACAGCTCAACCCAACCCACCTATCAGTACAGCATTTATGAACCACAGCTTCACACAAACCAAGCACTCAACAAATTACGTGACACTCAATCAAGTGATGCGGTTTGGCCTATACTATCACCTTATGGGGGACACGAGGGGGCGACTCGTACTTGACATTTAATACTGTACACACGTTATAACTTATAGCGTTAATTTTAAGTTTTACTTTTACTTTAATTAATATTAAATATTAATAGTTTAGGAATCGTGTTTTATACAATTGTTAAATTTTACCATATGTTTTGTTTAGTGTATATTATATTACAACTTAAAATGTATTAAATTTTGCTAACTTCCCGTGAAAATAGTATAGCACTAAGTTATTAATTTAATACAAGTTAAGTTAGGTCGAAGTTATACCATTTGACCATACACCTTTTGAAAAACATCCGTTATTTTACAATTTGACGGCACGTGTTAATGATTACTTGTACTGACAAAGTATTACACTTTCGCATCAAACCTTCATTTTGAATCAAATCAGTTATAATCAATATATAAATACTAGAGTGCAATCATCCCTATCCCCACTTCTGTCCCCCTTTCACACCTAATCACCAATTATTAGCAAAAATCACTGCAATCAACAGTGAGTGTCATTAAAATGGATAATATTTCATAAACATATACAGTATATAATTTGCATTCAATCTACAAAATGATTATATTTGAGAGTGACGTCAGCTCTAGAGATAATATAGAAATTTATTAAAAATATAATTTAATCATTAAAATAATACTTGTATTTAGAAATAAATAGTATAAGTATTGTTCGCAACACAATGTGTCTAATAGTCAGGAATGGGAGAGCATATGATGCGAACCAAGTCTTGGTATTTGATGGAAGCGTTGGGTGATGTGCTTGTGTTGGTCTCTCTCAACAGACTCTCGAATAGTCTTTCATCGATAGCTTCGCCGCAATCCATGAGATAATGTCTCAATTGAGAGACACTTATAGTCCCGCTTCGAGTCCAGTCTGAGGCCCGAAACGCGTCCAACACTTGTTGCGAGACTTTCTCTTTGACTGAATGGCAATGCATTACATCCAGAAAGTCAGCGAAACTCAGTTTACCTCCTGTTTAGACAACACATCATTCATATGTGCATACATTGAATGCATTATACCTTTTTGGTCAAAGTATTGCTTCAACTCTGTTATGGTTGGACTCATTTGGAGTGATCTCATGATAGTCTTGAGCTCATCGATGGTATTAATGGTTCCGTTGTGTCGAGTGATGAGAAAGAAACAATCCCTGAACTCATCGATGTCTTCGCCGCTGAAATATCGCGCCTAACAGTCAAACAAGCATTTCATATATCATTAAAGTCTATGTCTATCATATCTTGTCAGTGCTTACCATCTCTTTGGATCAGTTGTTGCGAAGATTATCTCAACAATGGTTTCACTGAACGCCAACTCAAACAATGTTTATATTTTCCCATAAATAACGTCATAAACCTTATGATCACGTGATTTGATATTTTAGTCATTTTTTATGCTTTAATAAAATTATTCATACCTTTGATTAAAACCCCTTTAAAAGTAATGAATGCTTCACTGCATAAGTTCATGCTTTTACACGTAAAGAGATGATAGGTTTTGTATTTTTATAGTGAATATAAAATATGATTTTATTACTATTAATATTAATTAATATAAACATGTAAATTGTGAAACCGGGAGTAAAGGCCAGATTCAAAATTTAGTAAATTTTGACTATAATTATATTTTTTAAAAATTTTGTTTTATTTAATTGATTAAAAATAAATTATATTCAATACATTTGTTGAGTTGATAATAATAAATTGCATAAAACATAAGAAATAAAAATAGATTGATACATTTATCAGTAAAGCTATATTTTAAAGGTTTTATTTTATAAATGTGTTTAAAAATTCACATTTTACAATGATCAAATGAAAATGGATTAAAATTTTAGAAAATCACACACAGTCTTGTAAACTTAAACGTTAAAATTTAAATAATTTTGTAAGATATTTTGTCGTGAAAACTACAAAGCTTATAATTAACATTTTTAGTAAAAATGCTTTAAAATAGTATTTTTCGATCATTATTGCTTTAATAATAAATATCATATACATACATGGTCATAAGTTCTAATGATTTTCCCTTGCCATTCTTAACCTATGTGCTTTTTTTAATCTATTTTAACCACAATTCATTTATGAAAAACATTCGGCTCCCTCCCCCTTGCACAAGTTCCAGGAGGGTTAACAAAATTTTGAAATATCCGTCCCATGAATACATAACTTCTCCAATAAAAATATTTTCTAAAAAGTACCTGGGTCAAGAATAATAAAGGAAACCCATTGGAATTGAGTTCTGCTTTCGTCTATATATTTCAATATACAAATCTTATTAAAACAAATAAAACCAATGATTTTACTTATTGATTGAACACATCAAACAAGAATAGGTTTAATATGAATACATAAAACATCATCATTTAGACAATTAATAACATTTCTCCATTCACTACATACAGTATTAATATAATACAGAATCCACGATATTACATAATGTATGTTTTTAATTGTTTTACTATCATTATATAGCATGGGTATATAAAGCAAATCAGCAAATATATATACATTTAAAGTTAAATTGGATTAAATTGATAATAATGCATACATACAGTAAAGTTTTCATTTATATATTGCATTATATGTTTAGTATGAAAACATATATTAATGGTTATGAAAATGCATTTATTATATTGACAATAGTGTTAACTAACTTATCAATCATAACTTGTAATCAAGTCTATTATATCTCTGACCGAAAGCATACAATTGTTACAAAAATAGTCTATGATTTGCACGAATTTCACTTTTATTGATAATAATGTTGTAAATATTAAGGACATCACAATGTGATAGATTTTTGAGTGATTGCTTGTTTGGCATATCAAGAGTATGAGCTGTAATGCAGTTAATATTTTAATTAATAGTTATTTATATTTATTGACAGCAATTATTATTCAAGTGCTCTATTATATATTGCTTTATAATTGTAGTAAATAAATAAGGCTAAACAATTATATGACAATAGCTAATAATTGTCAAATGAGTTAAATAGACGCACAGTATAACAAGTAAGTAAAAGTGCATTTTCTGCTAATCATTAAGTATTAATTAAAATTGTGTGATTCTATGTCAATAAATATATTTCAAAATTTAAAAAATAACTTATTTAGTCAATTCTTATTGTTTAATATTTACAATGCATTCCTAAATAAATTATTGACAATAACTGATATAATAAATATTATAAAAACAATTTCTCTGTTTTTTAGTGAAAACTTTAAATCAAGTTCTGCTGAAGTTATAGTATTTATTATAATTGGCGTTCCTTTCAAACCATTACAGACACTAAAGATAATAAATGATTTTAATTTTAGCACAATAGTAGAAACTCTAACTTAACAATAAGATTGGAGCTTAATTAAAATAATAAGTTATTGTCAATAACCACTAATTTTAGTGTTTTTTATTTATGTTAATTTTAAATAGAATAGTTGAATGCACAGCATTTGTCATTAATAATATGTAAATATGAATCAAATAATCAGAAATGATTTCAGTTTCTACTGTTTGCAAAGTGTTAAGAAGCCGGTGAAATGTATTGGCATATATTGGCGACCATTACTAATAGTATTGCTGTGCTCTTCATCTGTAGTGTAGGATAAATTTCTGCGAAACAGCGCTCGACCAGTGCTCACACTTGGACCCCATGTTTGACCCAAAGCGGCAACACTTTATGCGTGTATTGATTTTGCCGTCCCATTGGGTTACCTGTCCTTAAATCCATAGATTAGAGAATTGATAAATTAATATTAATCCGATCCTCAATCACATGAGACTCGGATCCGTCCGAACCGAAAGTGAACCGAAAGGAAAGTAAAAGTTTGCGATTAACTTCTAAAGCTTGAAACGCGCCGAACATTTTTATACAATGAGGTTACCATTGACCATGATCGCTTTATACACGTTCTGTAGTATACAATCTATGCCATAGTTTACAATTTCATGCATTCATTTTAATGTATTTAAATTGTGAAACCAATAGAATTCAAATAAAAATAATACCTTTTACTTTTCAAAACTCAAAATTCATTTTAAACAATATTTTCGTTCATTTGTAAAATCTCAATCAAATGCACATTAAGTATACATTTTATTAATTATATGATATAGATGAAAATGTTATCGACAGCATACAAATAAAAGTCATTTTATAGAAAACGACATACAGTATAATATATTGTTTAATATAATGCAAACATTAATTTAATTCAAAAATCAGTTTTAATTCTTTTTTATTGAAAATGTCTAATAAGTAATAAAAATGTAAGTGTTTTTAATTACAGTAAATTTACAAAACAAATGTTTAAATTCAGTTACAATTCCACATGAAATACTATGGTTTACATATGATGTTTATATAACAAATTAATGATTAGATTTGCATTCATAAATAAAAATACTCATTTTTGGGGAATTTAGCTTTGATTTATATTTAGCACTTATTTAATGTGATAATGAAAACAATTTGATAACTATTTAATGAAATGTAAAGCATTCATATGGGATAAGAAATTAGGGGATAATAATACTATTGTAAGAGATCTCACGGGAATTTCTCTCTCTCTCTATCTATCTCTCTCTCGACTTAATTCACAGATTCCTTGTTATTCACAAGTATTTTCATTATATTAGTCTATGATATGAAAGGATTGATTAATTATAATATAGTTTTTTGTCGTTTACAAAATATTTTCCTCTCTTATCAAAAGAAAGACAATTTTTTTTATAAAACATATTTCAAAGAAAAGTCTTGTCATTAAAATATTTCATAATTAAATGCTTTTAAAAAAAGTCCATCAGTTTCTCAAAACATTAAACAACAACAAAACAAAATGTATTAATCTTTTAAACAAATCTTTGTCTCGTAAATGAATATAAATTTTTGAAAAATTGTTTGTCATTTAATAGAAAGAAAAATAAAAAGTTAATATAATTTTGTTTACTTTTAATTAAAAAGTATTATTAGATAAATAACTATATTATCTAAATTATTTTTATTTATTTTTAAATTTATATCATTAAATTTTATTTGATTTCTAACTTTCGTTTTATTAAACAAATGATATCTAAAAATATTTCAATTAAAATAGCATTTTATTTCATATCACTATTTATTTCATTAAAAGTTATTATTATTTCTGTCATTACTCTTAAGATAAAAGTCGTATACATTTTACTTATTTTTATAACCATTTCTTGGTTTGAAATTACAATCTCGGTCTTTCTTTTTGGTCTCTCTCTCTCTCTCTCTCTCTCTCTCTCGCATATAATATACAATATTAATTATATTCAGAGAAAAATATTTTCTGATCTGATTTCTGGGACACACAGTGAACAC